TATGCAGGATTTTCACTGGCTGTGTTGCCGTACCACTACCATCACACACCTCCCAACACAACACCTAAGCTGGCCCTAGGCCGCATTCTGCTACTGGTGCCAGTTCTGACATCCAGCAAAGAGAGCGTAGGAACCACCGTTTCACATCACGCGCAACCAACAAAAAACTCCGAAGCCACGGTCGGTCACCTCTTAAGTGTCAGCATATGCATTGATTCTGGGAGCGCATTCCCCAAATACACAGATGTATTCTAAACCGCCATACTAAGAAGTCAATAAAAAGAAATGTGAAGCATTGATATTATTGCCTATTTTGATGGTAAGGTTACGTACACGACTTCTCAAAACTGCAGTCAAAGTTTTGCAAATGCCTGAAGTAAAAAAGAGACCTCATACTCCAATTTAAGGTAAGTGAATAAAAACTGCCCAGGAACAAAGTTTAACAGCAAGATGCTTTAAAGGAGGAAAAAAAAGCAACAATATGCTTTCATGATACTGGTCTCCATGCATTTGTGTTGTCTAGGACCAACAATGTGATCTCAGGCTTCCTAAAACTGACCTTAAACTAACAGTTTGCCAATTAAAAAATAAGAACTAAAACCCCAACACAGTTTAATATAATACTAATAAAGATTCAGGGTGAGCAGATCCTCTTTTTTCAAATGCATACAGCTACAGAACACACATATCAGCTCCTGGGACTCAGCAAGCACACATGAGGGAATGACATACTCTTCCTATTACTTAATATAGACATCTCTATCTACCAAAAAAAGTCTGCCAAACTTCTGTTCCTTATATAGCCACTCCAAGGTAAATAGGTGTCCCAGCCCCAAACAGAATATAAGAATTGGAGAAATCAGAACAGCTCACAAGAACACACTGACGTGCACGTGTAGAAACCAGCAGCCTCCGAAGTCCTCCTTAAATTGCTTAAATAAAACATGCCAAAATGTTGGCACCATTCCAAAATTCTGCAAGCTCAAACAATACCGTTATATAATATTTACAGTATGTTTCCTAAAGGTTTCCTCAAACTGCCTTTAGTCCAACATCCTCATTCCCTGGCAGACTTGCTTCTCCCTTCCAAGAGAAGCAATCCCTGACTAGAGGAGGCTGTGAGGAAACAGCTAATTCCACTTCCACAAAACCCAGATGACCGCCTTCAAGAGCTGCACAAGCTGGCACAAGGGTACTGCCAGAACTGTACTGTGGCACGAGTGGGGATGAGACAGAGAGCCACAGTGGATCTTATCAGACGGATACAAGGGAAGGATTTGACTGCTGGCACTTCTACCTTACAGCTCACAAGCAGCTAAGAGGCCTTCTCGGGCAGCAAGCAGATGTGTGTCTATGAATTTCTCCTGTATAATTCATTTTTATGCATGATGTACATGTTTGATTCAACTGCAACATGCGTTCTAACACACATGTCTTCGTTAATCCCAAACGCGTGCAACGGCTCTAACAGAAGATGGTCATGCACACCTCGTCCTTTCACCAGAAGTCTGCGCACAGGAGTGCTTGTTTCACCTACGCCAAGCATTTGTACATACCCAGTAATGCAACAGCACATCAAGCACCACGCCATGCATACGATGAGAGCGCTTAAGCGTACATGACGAAAAACACCACAGTTGCTCAGGATTTTATCACATTTCCCTAAATTAGGCATTCAGGAGAGCTAGACCTTTTGCTGCCAGTACACGTTCTTAACGATCTTAAAGGTCTTTTCCAAACCAAAAAAATCTGATTCTATACTTGCTCTGCTCGCTCTACACGCAGCTCCTTCTGTTCATGCTCCAACCCACGCAGGGATGATGCTCCTGTGGCTGGGAAAGGCCTGAGCAGCCAAGAGCTCAAGAGACAGAGGGTAAACCTCAGGCAGGCGGCTGCGTTGTTGTAGCTACACGGCCTCTGGTCAGCTCAAAGCCTGCGGCAAATGAGCTTGCACCTGTCTTAAGGTACTTAGCTCCTTTCAAAAAAAGGGATTAAAAAGACCTTGGAAGCTAACAAATTTCACATGAAAAAAAAATCATAATAGAACTTGCGTAGCGAAGGCTTTAAGCTCTTTTCTTCCTAAAGTAGTTATAATTTTATGTTATGGTATCCTCTGTAATGCTGGCAACGTGCTGGGAGCCCGTGTCAAACGAGCTGAAGCCCGCTGCGCTGCGCCAACCCACTCAGCAGCCCCGAGCGTGTGCACCCCACCTCGGGGTCACGGGACTCTGCCCCTTCCATGGCAAAGTTTCCACTGGCCCTTCAAACCAGTGGGCATCCTGCACTTCCAAATGCACTCTTCTCCTCCTGAGGAGTACGCAGAACAGATTTTCCTCCTTGAACTCACACACTGAGTTCTTGCCTTTGGCTGCAGATTCCTATGAAAACTCACCAGCTCCCTACAGAGTCCCAAAATCCACACCTCCTACCTGGGAACAGCGTACCAACTGGACTCTTTGCCACAAGGATGACAGAAACCAACGAGAAGACAGGCCAAACTTACATACATGTCTATTTTGGGGGTTTGTTACGCTGAAGGTTTCTGGCTTCAGCAGTTCTTGTGTCACCTTTTAGCCAGGCTCAATCTAAACTCAGTGAAATCTCTAAAACAGTTTCCCAAAGACTCTTCATTTCTAACTGTGACACTACTAACGTTATTTAATGCTGCTCTCGGGAGACATACACGCACAGAAACCCCTCCAAAACCCCAACCCACACAGCCTTCTCCATCCCTGCGTTTTGCTGCCGAGTACGCTGTCAAGGCAAACCCGGTGAAACTCTTTAAAGGTATGGTACGTGTCAAGTCAACAGCAACATCACGCACACGCCGTAAGACTTTCCATTCATTTTCTGCATTATCTGTTCTTTTTAGCACTAGTCTGTTGGCAGAGTCCCCAGAGGATGTAAGACACGCAAGCTGAATCCCACTGGCATAAAGCAACTTGCAGGCAGCACCAGACAACTGATTTACGGGGGTATTTCTGAAGTTATGAAGTTAAAGAGTGCCAGAACAAAGTAGAGTACCTGTAATGCAAACATCTATATATTAACAGAACTGCAAGTCTGAAAACTTAGAATAAGGGGAAACACTAAAGACAGGCTACAATAAGATGTGTGCAACAGCACCAATAACTCTGTGGGAGTAAGAAGTGGTCACGCGTCGAATTGCCAGTATTTCAGCAACGGTGAGTGTCCGCAGATCTTGCACATAGCTAAGGAAGTATGTTTCTCAGTATAAATGAAAAAAGCTGAACGCAGAAAACAAATATTTGACTGAACAGACCCTTTGTTTTTAAGCAAGATCTCCACTATTTCAACACATCTAACTTACCCAGATCTTCAGGCAGCTATTTACAGGCTGTTATGTGCCTATATAAACTGTTCAACCAGCTAAAAACTACTGTTTTTCCCGAGAGCTGATCAACACAACTGCGTATTCAGAGGTGGTTCTGCACAGCCATACACACAAGCAACACCCATGCACTGGGAAGATGAATGCCACACGCCAGCTTTCAGCTGTGTTTGCCAGCAAGTCAGGCCTAGCCTTTCTGAAAATGGGACTGTTCCACAACACTGTTGTATTCAAAAGACTCTAAATTTGAAGTGATTAACTGAACAAAATTACAGGATGGTATACGGGGAAAAGTGTCGAGCCTTCATTATTTTTTCACAAGTTGGACCAAAGCAATTCGGGAAGAAAAAGGTACCTGCCAACACACAAATAATGCTATCGTAAAACTGCGGGTGACTTTTTTCCCCCAATAACTGTTATAACTAGTCAACACAAATTTGGGAATTC